TTGTGGAAATCATAGGGTCGAATGTACATTCAAATATGCCACGAGTCAGGTTTGGAACAATATGAGGGTGAATAGATGGCAGAACTATCCCTTTAAATGAGATTATATTGTTCCTTTTGCCAGGTTAGAATATAGGAAAAAGGCTACATTTATTTGAAAGAGATTATGTGTCACCATAAAGTGCAATACAATACAGTAAGTGACATGATTTACCTTGACCATGCAGAGTAAAACTTGGTTTTAATTTTGGGCATTATGTAAGCCGTGAATTTATTGTTTGGCGCAGTAGGGGTGAAGACAGAACGTCCTGGTTGCATATGCAACCCACTGTTTCCTGAAGGAGGGAACGGAGGACGTAGTCGACATCGACTGAATGGGGATCACGCCAGGGAGCCAATCGTCCTCGAGTACTATTGAACGAGCCAATGGGAATTGGCGTGCGTGATGACATCACACACTCCGCCCCCGCGGCGCGGGTATAAATACGGAAGTGGATGCATGCACTATTTGTTTTTCGCTGAGCGTAACTCGTAGTCAGCGATGGTCCAGCGGTAGTGGCAACGGGCCAACGTCCTCCGTTCCCTCCTTCCCTCCTGCATACGCAACTAGGACGTTCCCTTTCAGTCGAGAACGTCAGACGTAGTCTACGTCGACTGAATGGGGATAACCATTGAAAACGCCACTAAAGCTGCCACCTTCCAGTGCCTAGACAAAAGCCTCCAGATCCCCCCCGCAATTTAAGGTGGGGAAGGGACAGGGCTTAGGCCAGGGAAGTCACTGCTGTTCCTACAGGACCACTGGGAAAGTGTTCCCTGTACATGGAAGGAAGGGACGCTGCGGAAGTCACATCCTGCCCGAAGGGAGGTAACATGTGGAGAATACACATATGGACTGGGAAGACCGGGCAGTACAACATATGGAATGTCACTGGGGTGGCTCCAGCCTAAGACAGGGGGAGACTTAACTGGACAGTGACGGCAGAGCAGGCTCTGCCAAGGGAAGACACGGGCTCGCCGCAGGGAGCCGTACCGTGGAAGAATGCACATATGGGATCGCCGTAGGGATCACAGGATATGGACCCAGCCTAATTCAGGTCCCACCAGTGCATACGAGTGATAGGCCTGGCTTCGGACGTTCCGCCACGTCCGATGCCGAAGGGTATGGAGGAACTCGACAGGGTTCGGCTAAAAAAGGGGAACTCAACTGGAGCAAAAACATGCGCACGTATCCAATCCATAGGAGGGGAATGACGCAGCAAGTTGACACAACGAACCGGGCTTACATTGAAACTTGGCTTCATGTGAAAGGAGCTCACGGGAAGCAGCGGTTCGACTAAGGTGTCGGCCAGCCCCCAACTCTAGAATATCCCTTTCTCACTTCTAGCACCAGCCGAACACACTCTTCTTGAAGAGACGTGTTGGACTGAGTCCTTCTACTGAACTGAAAAGAGATACTCACCCCGTGGGCAAGATTACTCTCTCCCAGTTGACCTGAAGGATAGAGCGCTGAAGTACTGTCCTTCAGGTCGAACGCTGTAGGCCAACCTTGGGGACGGAACATTTGAAAATGCATCTCTGTGTTAGTAATTGAACGGAGGCTTTCGAAAAAGGGCCCATTTCAATTGACACGGGTTCAAGATGGCCATAACCCACCACATATCTAGGGTACAATAAAGTACAGGTTTATAGAAACCGGTCTTCATATCGGCTGGAGGAAGAGGCTACATCGCGTCCTTCGCCAGTAGGACTGCGACGTGCACACACAGGACAGGAGCAGCGCTCAACACGTAGGTGTGGTAAATATCACTAAACTTAGGAGCATCTCAGCTCAACACCTAGGTATGATGCATATCACTGAGCTGGGGCGAAGCCAAGCGAAATGAATCGCAAGCCGAGTCTGCTGGTAGTTTCGGGCCAGGTGGAGCGGTTGGAAGCATCTTTAGGCTTACACACACCGTGCCAGGGGCAAGGAACCACAGACGTACCCGAGGTGGGGCAGCGAGGTGGAGGACAGGGACCCGGAAGGCCCGGAGGCGGCCCGAAGCAGGGTCTGAGTGTGGTGCATGACACTTACCTGTCTCCACAAGATGGCCAGGGGTGCGTGAGAAGGCGGATGACCGCGTCCTCGAACCGCACCCAGCTGCCGTGCTGGCGAACAAGAGGGGGCTGAGGGGTGCAAGGTTTTACAGGGTCGCACACTGCCAGACTTGCCCTCTTGGGACCCAGGAATAGAGGAATTTGCTCTTTCTTTGAAGTGTGGGTACCGCTTGCTCCGCTTCTTTTGGGAGCCAGCGGTGGAACAGACACACACAAACAACCTGGCCCTCACCCGGGGGGAGGGAGTGGATCAGTGACCAACTCCAAGAGCATCCTCCTCCATCCCTGAGCGGCCCGCTCCGGAATGCTTTCGCTGTCGCTTGCCACCTGGCGTCCCTACTGCAGCCGGCTCCATGCTGAGGCCTGGCTGGAGGCTGCTGCGGAGTCCCACCGGGAGCGGCGGCTGGGGTACGCCCTCGGCGACGAGCAGGCGGAGGAACTGCCACCGGCGGCGGGGTGGAGGCAGCAGCAGGCCGCCGGGGCAGGATGTGCCGGATGGCCTCCGTCTGCGGTTGGGTGGCACAGAAATGTTGGACGCAGTTCTCCGCCACGTCGCCGACCAGCCTAACCTGGGAAATTGGGGAGACCAGGAACCGAACCTTGTCTGCATCCGCCATATCAACCAGGCTGAGCCAACGATGGCGCTCCTGGACCACTAAGGTGGACATCGCCAGACCGATCGCGCACGCCACAACACGCGTGCCCCGGAGGGCGAGGTTGGAAGCAGTGCGGTGCTCACCTATGAGTGCACGGTCTGGGCTACCCTCGTGCATGTCCATGGGTGCCCTGGCCTGACAGACCTGTAGCAGCGCTATGGCACGCAAGAGGAGGTGGCTTGCCCACTGGCTTTGTGAGCTCTGCCCGTCGGAACGAGAACTCACAGGCCTTAGGGGGGAGACGAGGATCCCCCCAAAAGGTAGTGGCCGCCAGACACAAGTGCACCTGAGTCGTGACAGACCGCTACACTGGAGGGATAACCTCGCAACCCTTCACCACATCAAGGGTAGTGAGGGGGAAAAGCTATTCAGGCAGTTTCTGGCAGAGAAAGGTGCCGTCCACAATCTGGTAAGCTCTCCATGCACTTCGGGAAAGAAAGGCACTGGGGCGGCGAGCTGAGAACCAGCGCGGCCTACCCCGAGATACCAATCCTCCAACCAAGACTGAACGGGACACGGTGGAGGGTTCCACTCGAGCCCGGCAGCCTGGGCGGCCCGTTTCAGCTGACGTTTCTGGATCGGGCTCGGGCAACGTTACACTCCCAGAGGGAGATAATACAGCCGAGTCGTCGTCTCCAGAGGCCAGCTCACCCCCCGATGCTGCTATCGACATCTTATCCTCTGGGGCAACCCCAAATGGAAAAAGCTGATCGGTCCATTACAGAGGGACCAGTACGTTTAACAGGAATTCCATCCGCTGCGGTGTGATGGAGGAATGAGGAGCCCACAGGGAATGGTTACCGGGCGAGACATCCATCACTATCCTCCGATCACCCATCCCACACGGCACCCGGGGGTGGGGCATGAGTCTCGATCTCGATCTCAACACCGCGACAGTCATATTCCCGCAATGGGAACATAAACCATCCACAAAAGCGTGCTGTAAGCGTGCTGTAAGCCCAAACACATGATGCAACAATTGTGACCGTCAGAGTGGAAAAGGGTACGACCGCATCCAGAAACGCACAGGTGGAATGACATCTTGAAAAAGACGCAAACGCACCGGTGTTGCTCTTTCAGGAAATAGGATCCATCACCAGTTCCGGAGCACACAGGGGAATGACCGCGGCAACACTGAACAGAAACAGTGAAGCACTCACTTTTCCGCCCTCTAACCAGCCATCAACACACAAACATTTAGAGATTTGTTGCTGTTAAAACAGCAGTTGAGAGCTCAAAGCTGTAGAAACCACCAGCACTGAGAGAGTCTTCCAGAAGAACACCGACACACTCCCTCGTTGTAAACAACAGCACTCTTCAGAGACATCAAACGATCGGCTCCGAAGCGAAAGGCAACTAGTGCGTGCATCCACTTCCGTATTTATAGTGGCGGAGTGTGTGATGTCATCACGCACGCCAATTCCCATTGGCTCGTTCAATAGTACTCGAAGACGATTGGCTCCTTGGCGTGATCCCCATTCTGTCGACGTCGACTATACGTCTGACGTTCTCGACTGAAAGGGAACAGACATAAAAAGTTACTTTTAACTCGCTAACTCTTATGTTCTCCACTCCCCTGCAATCAGCAGTGTTTGTTACATGAGTTAAACCAATAAAAACGGAGGGTCTATGAGCAGGGTTCCTACATACAGTAGATACAATATACATATAACACCAGTTCTTCAGTTTCGATTTCCAGGCCTGAAAAATCATGTAAATTTCTAGAGTGGATATAATTTTTCTTTTTGATCTTTGTGTGTGTGTGTGTATTTTTGTGCATTCTTTGTAAAATAATTTTTGGATAATAAACTGGATTTGTCATGGATAACTTTGTCTGGGTCTTATATATTGAGAGATCCTTTCTTTTTTTTCTTTACCATACTAGCACATTTATTGTTTTCATATAAACTGGCTGCTGAGGTCATTTGTCATTTTACCCTCCTCTGTGACACATGACATTCAACAACAGTTGTAAATTTTACCTGCCACGTTACAGCCGGTCTCTCACATTGTTCCCGGGGTTAATAGATATCACACATCATCCACTGAAATACTGTATTTTCCCTCCTTCTAAATTTAGGCTGACCCAATTTCGTTGTGCAGCTATTTTTTGTTATCTGTACAGAAAAAAACAAACAGCAAATCATCACAACAGCCTACATAAAATAAACAGATGGGTTATGAGGTAAAATAAATGCTGTGTCCTGACAGTTCCATCACGTAACCCTTGTTTCTCCTCGTTTCGCAGGGCCGCTCCGCATCTACGGGTACATGAATCTGAGTTCCATCGGCCAGATGCCTGAGTTGGAAGAAGTAGATACCAATGAGAGGTTAGAGCACCACTACCATTATCAGTTTTTTCCTTTAACTGTTTTAGCCGACCTTGAGCCCCAAGATGGCTTATAAATAGACTTGGTTCATGCATAAATCAATGAAAGTGTTTTAACCCCGCCTGAGACCTTTGCATGAATTCACTCGCTTGGCGCAATATTGACATACTACCATATGTTCACCTCCTTTTTTGAAATGTCATTGCTGCAAATGCACTGGTTCCCTCAGAAATGACAGGAATGCAATGTCTCTGGGACTTCTCAGGAAGCTACAGCATCAGGGGGACTTGAAGGTCTCCAGAGGATGTGGGCCTGTTTGCTCAGCAGGACAGATGAAATATGGTCTTTCTATGTTGGTATTAGCTTTCTGCATTCCGGTACTCTACTTACAAACCATCAGTATCCTGTAACATCACAGGAGTCTCAACCCACTAAACAACACAGTAATGACACTCATAAATAGCATGTGTGTGTTCTTTTTTTATTTGTGTTGCTGTCAGGTCCGCTGCTGTCAGTGAGATGTTACAGTGCTGTTATGTTGCTGTTTATGTTCAAAATGCTGACTACTGGTGTTCTGATAAGCAATGTTTTGGCACTGTAATCGGCTGATTTTTACCGACTTTTGACAAACACATTTTTCATGATAGTTCATAATTTTTGGATTGTTAAAAATGTATACTCATTTTTATTCATAAATAAAGAGATTCACCGATAATACATTTCTCTGCAGATACCGATATTCAGAATTATATCGATAGTTTGGGTTTCTTTAGGGGGGGAAAAAAACCTCTCCAAAAATAATGCTGCATACCATACAGGGAACCCTCTCATTTGGTATACTACTATAATATTAGAGGTTATAATTAAGAACAGTTAATATATTCAACTGGTATTTATTTTCAGATATAATAATTACACTCAAATAAAAAGTGAAATGTTTGTATGCAACTTGGGTTGCACATAAGGTAGTTTTTTCAATTTATTCGTGCATACATATATAATTAACAGTAAATAAGCTCCTCTCTAGCTTTTTTCATAGCTAACTAACTAACTGAACACTGGATAACTTTCCTGAGGCAAATGCAACTTTAAGTGACACATTATTCACAAGCTGTTTTATTGATGTCTCTCTGTGATTGAAACAGTGATTATGCGATTGCATGAGACATGATTCATTTTGGAAAGTTGTACTATATCTTTCAACATACCTTCTGATGTTCATGCATGTTTTTTTCGTGCTTTAATTTGTATTAAGAGGAAGAGATGATTTGCGCTCCGTGCTGCTGCTTGAACTGGGCGCTAAAGCGATCTGTCATGTCACAGAATTTGAAAGCTAAGACTTTGTTTCTTATCAGAAGTAATAAAGCACAAAGCTCTTTGCGATTATTGGATGGAAGGCACGCCAAAAATAATGTTTGGTGTAGGGAAAACCGCGGACCTGGTAACCCTGGCTTGAACTACGAGTTATTCATCGGGTCAAATAAAGACTGCTTTAACGTTGCTGTTTTTTAACTGTCAAAGTGCTATTGTCGCGTTAACTTGCCCTGAATTCAACTCAAGAGATTTTCTTCACACACAGTATGGGTTGCAGTCTGAACATGTTTTTCCGCCCCCTTTTTATTGACAGGATGTAATCGGCCCTGATAATCAGCTGTTTTTTAAACAAAAATAATTGCTTTTAAAAGGATAGATAGATAGATAGATAGATAGATAGATAGATAGATAGATAGATATATAGATAGATAGATAGATAGATAGATAGATAGATAGATAGATAGATAGATAGATAGATAGATAGATAGATAGATAGATAGATAGATAGATGGAAAGATAGATGTTAACATTAGTTAACTAATGGGACCTTATCATAAAGTATGTGTTTAATTGAATTTCAGCAGGCTAAAAAAAGTTATACTGTTGATAGTGAGCTTTTTTTTTTCGTAGTGTCAACTCCACCGTCAATTCAAATTCCACTACTGAATGTGAAATATGAAAAAAGAAAGGGAGATTAATTCAGGTACAATGTCATTCTTACAATTCAAATGAAAGTATGGTAAAGCAAGACAGCCCCGGCAGCGATCCAAGCCTCGGAGAATTCCATAACAAAAGTGTCAGATCCCCCATTGGGGAAACACAACACTGCTGTCTGAGTGTGTGATTATTACTGCACCCGCAGTGTCACACTTCATCGGGGATGATGCGATGTCTCTCCAAACATTTTCATTCATACCGGCTAACATCGCCGATTTCCCCGTGTGCTCTATATCACAACAAGCCACATGGCAATATCTCCCTCCTTTCAGTTGTTTATCTGCAGCATGTCCTCTCTGGGGAAGGCCGAACTCCTTATCCCTTTGTCACTGTGTATGCCATTTTGGATCACCACTCTTCTTGAAGAATCTCTCCAGAGTGTCTTGGAAGCGACTGCAGTTTATGCTGAAGAAGACAGCGGAGGGTATTCCGGGTGTGTGGCGTGCTTAGATGAGGAAGTCTTTGATGTAGTGTTTTGAGATTATCATCGTGGGGTAGCTTTAATCAGAGCAGGCATGAATTAAGAAAGAATGATGGTACCACTGCAAAATAAAATTTGAAGATCATCATTTTATAAGTAGAGCCTGTCCTCTGCATCATCATAAGAGGTAAATCCCAGCATGCAGGAAGATTCAGCTAAATCTATGTTAATGAATGTTTCAGCATGGTTGGGGGACTTTTATTTCCCAGTGGTTGATTTTTAGTGAAACAAACATAATTGTTTTTTTTTGTTTTTTAAAATGGATTTTCTAAAAAGACCACACAGCCCGAAGTGCCCACAGAAGAGACACATGTAAAGCGAACATTAAATGAGAACAAAGGACACAAAAGAAGGATGCTCTTCCTTTCTCTACTTGAACATGTTGATAGCATGTTCAGACATGCTATTTTAGAGATGTCACTGCCCTATGATCTCCACAACTCACCCTGCAAATTACTCGGCTGTTGTGAACTTTACTATTGAACTGACCTGTGAACTGCTGCTATGAGCGGGGCAACGGATCTATACACGACCTGGCTCTCTCTTAATGAGATGCAGTTGCGAGAAGTCTTGCACAATTTATGTCCTTTGTTTGAAATAGCAGGTAAAACCTTATTTCATACGATACAATTTCATTTTGTTACATAAGAATAGCTCTGCTTTTCATGCGATCTCTGTAACTAAAGGTGCACGGTCTCTTGTGTGTTATGTACAGTTCTGGGTTAGCCAGGAAGAAAGACCAGAAACCTCTATGTGAGCTGCTGGCCCTTTTCCAGCGGCTCAGAGCAGTCAGAGGGAGGCCTCAGGGGACAGGGAAACCCAGCGCTGCTCAAACGGGAGCCCTGCTTTTTTGGATTTGCTCAGCTGCAATAAATTTACCCGGGCGCATAGTCCACCTCACCCTGGTGATTTCCAGCTGTAATAATGATAACCTGATCAGAAACAAACAGCAAACAGCGAGCCTTTGACGCTGTTTCTGGAGGAATGATTTAGTTTAGTTGATCAAAAGATAAGCTTTTCGAACACTTTTAGTCATAAGCAACATGTTGATTAATAGAAGCCTCTCCATTAAAATTATAGTTTGTGTTTGTCTGTGGTGTTTTGCCCTGCAAAAATCACACCGGGTGCTTTCCAGGGCTTTGCTACGTGGTTCCTTGGATGTTTGTGGTAGTCGCTATATAGTTGTTAACTAGCTTATTATAAAAAAGCTGGTTAAGAGATATATGATATTGTCACAAGGTGACGAACCAGCAGCGGAACTATATATTCCACGGAGGGATGTTTCCACCCGGAGCGCTTCCAACGGAACACCAGCCAGTCTTGTATGCATTCGCTACCATGGCAACAGCAGCCGCTGATGACAGAGTGACAGCAGGTGCGGCGCATCAAGGGGCTGTTTGATGATTGGGACACACAGTGCTTTGAAGCAGATGAAAACCAAGCTTTGGGAGACCAAGGAAAAAAGTCGAGTTCAGTTCAGTGCAGTGTTCTGTGTTCGGTGTTCGGGTGCTGTGTCCTGACTTTGTTCCGTCGAGGTGGGCTGAGAGTTTCTGTGGGACAAATCGGCTGGTGAGATCGACCCGCGGAAGGGAATCCGCTACGAAGGATTGGGTGGTGTGGAACAGAGAAGCGGAGGAGGAGTCGCCTTGGAGATATCAAGTCCCCTTCTTGGGTAGAGATAAGTGCAAACCTTTTACTGGCCGTACGGTATGTGATTTATACACAAAGACACTGTATATGAAGAGAAGCGATCTAGGAAAAGGAGTCTAGACACCGTAATGAGAAGACAGCTGTTGTGATGCATGATTGGGGTCGCTATATATTCTTCCGTCTTACTGTCCCCGCTGTTCAGAACAAGGAGGTGGGCTGTGGCCTTATATTTCACAGAGTGGTTGAGAGTGACGTGTGTTGATGCTGTGCCCCACCGTGTGTGTTTGAAGTGAAGTTACGGCATGCTTACTATACCGAATTCTGTCACGTGCCCATCGGCCTTGCCCTGTGTTGCAGTTTGGAGTTGCTGAGGAAGAGATTAAGTGACGGTGGGATTTAAAGCTTGCTGTGTTCTGATTCCTCATTGATGCTGTTCTGAAGAGCGGAGGAATTCCAGTTATCTGCTGTTCTGAGTGTCCCCCGTCTAAAGCTGCTGCATTCTGTTCCATCATCACTGTTGTGGAGAGCGGAGGAAACCCAGGTATCTGTTGTTCTGAGTGTTGTACATTCCAAGCCTGCTGTGTTCTGATTCATCATTGATGCTGTTCTGGAGAACGGAGGAAATCCAGTTATCTGCTGTTCTGAGTGTCCCCCTCCTAAAGCCACTTGCATTCTGTTCCATCATCACTGTTGTGGAGAGCGGAGGGAACCCAGGTATCTGTTTCTCTGAGTGTCGTACATTCTAAGCCTGCTGTATGCTGATTCATCATTGATGCTGTCCCGGAGAACGGAGGAAATCCAGTTATCTGTTGTTCTGAGTGGTGTACAGTCTAAGCCT